TCTGGGACTTGGGCAAAGCAGACCCGGACCCAGGAGGTGGAGGTGGGGGTGCCCCAGGGTACACTTGGGGCTGCAGCTGAGGTGAATGCAGGGGAAGATGTGTTGGAGTGTGAGGGAGATGCATGGAATTTGGTATGTTACAATAATGACAACAGTGCACTGTCAAGGCATGCCAAAGTTGGAGGGAGTTGTAGGGGAGAGACACTGTTGGAAGGTGTCAGGGCTTGGTCCTTGCTTGAGGACAGCCCAGCCTCAGGGCTGGGTGTGTGCAATGTTCTGGGTGCCTGGGTGCTAGACCCTGTCCTCAGCTCCTGAAGGGACTAAGCAGGGATTGAGTTGAGAAGAAGGGTAAGTTTCCCTATTCCCCACTTGGCTGCTATAAAAGGGAAATGCACTGTACAGTTCATAACGTGACTGTGGGTAGAAGCCAAGCATGTTCCTGTGACTTGGAAAAGGTGTCACATGGGTTAGGGCAAGTTGCTCACCTTGACCCATGTGATTTTTCCTGCAGGTTCGCATGTGGGCTGTGGTTGAGAGAAATGGGTAGATGAGGGAAGTGGGGGAAGTCAGGGAAGGTGGTTCTGGGGTTGCCCTGACAGAAGGGCAAATGACATGTTGGGGACGATGTGCACAATCGTAATCAGGTGTGAGTGCCATGTGGAATGGCTGGGTGCAGTTCAATCAGGTGCAAGTGCCATGGAATTGATGGTGGGCACAGTGGGATTGGTTGTAGTGGGATCACTGGACAATGCAGTGAGGTGGGAGGGGGTGGTGGAATTGCTGGACACGATGGGACAAGCACTGTTCATGTCAGTCTAGGAATGGATTGCATCATTTCCTGGGGTCAATGTGACAATGCAGGGAGGGAGGCTGGGGCAAGTGAATGTGGTTGGCTGGGCAGTGGGGGAATGGGAGCCAGGTGCAGGAGGGCAGTGGCCTTGCTGATGTGTTTGAAATGTACATAAATTTCATTCCAAACCCAGTTGAAAGGTGCTTAGCTTCAACAACCCCAGGATCACCAGATGGTTACAGAACTTCTTCCCTGGGTCTATCTCGAAGAACCTGGCATATACCCAAATAATGACATGGTTTGGGTAAAATCATGCAATGCTTGCAAATTGCATTGAACTCTTGGGTGGTCTCCAGTGTGACAGTATTTGGGAAAAAACCCAGTGGTCCAGTCAGTGACCAACTGAGCTGTGATATTTTCTGGGCCCAGCCACCTCCATTCTTGCAGTAAGTCAAGGGAAGGATGGTACACCCAAAACTCCTCTGAAGCCACCACCAAGCAAAGCACCGGGCACCAGCTCTTTCCAGGCTCTCCCATACTTCAAGGTTTCAGGTGTCTCCATGAAGTTTTTTCTTTGTGGCACAGATGGTGTGGGAGGGTTGCTGGGGGCAGGGGAACTGGCACTTATCTCAGCCACAGCTTGTCTGTTGACTGACAAACTAAGTGTTATCATTTCATGGCCCATGGCCTTCCTAACATGGGTGTTTTTCCACAGATGCTGCTGCTGCCCTTCCACAGAGGTGTACATGCAAGTTATTATTGATAATTGTATTTTGAGAACCCATGAGTTATCATTATCAAGTTTTAATCAATTATTGGTGTCGCTGAATATTAAGATTGGCAGCCATTGGATCCATTTGATCATGGTTTGGATTGTAGGGACTGCACAGTGACAGATGCATGAACTTTGTTATCCAATTTTTTTTCTCTTTATCCCCTCTCCCACTTCCAGAAGCCTCCCCCATTTTTAATCTTTTTCATTTTTAATCTTTTCCTTTTTTTTGCCCACACTAGATGGAACTGAAGGGAGGATTGAATGAGTGGAGGAGGGGAATGGGGGTGATGATCATGACTCTTCACAGGAATTCATGAGGATGCCCAAAAATACCCATACCTGCACATGAATGCTCATGACCCTTCATGAATATTCCTGACTCTTCATGGAGAGTCATGACTGAGCAGCACATGGCTTGAGTGTGCAAGGTGCAACCAAATTTCCCCCCATTTGTCTCTCCTTCAATTCTCCATCAAATGTTATGTGGTAGGTACCATTTTTGTCACATGAATTAAGGTTTTTTTCTGTATCTCATTGTGATGCAATAGTCCCAGATTATATGAAGGAATTCAGATGAGCTGGTTCACTATATGTGCACTTATTCTGCTTACTGTGCTCTCAAAAAATACAGAAAATACTTTGGGTTACATGAAACGCTTGATTTCTCTCAAATTATTGCCAGTTTGATTGCCAAAATCCATGAAGATTTGGTGTAGATATGGCCATGCACCCAGGGTGAGCACTTATTGTGACTGTGATTGTGGCTCTATTTGTTAGAAGGTGGCAGATTCAGATGGTTCCAGAAGTGGAATGGAGACTTAATACATGAGGACCTTGGCCTCAGCAACTCAGGTGGAGCACTGTGCCACTACTGTTTTGTCATTAATTTTGGAGCTAACAATGGAAAGTCTCTAGGGGAAATTGGGTGGGGTTTCAAGTCAATTTTCAGACTGAGGCTACAAGTAATTATTGTCATATCCATCTACAGCCATCATCCTCCACTACCTCTGATCCTTCTGGACTACCTCCACTCCTTCATCACTAACCTTGGAGCCTCCATATTCCACAATCACCTCCAACTCCCTTGATGGTCACCACCCCCCAATTCAATATATTACCTACACCTCCCTAAGTACAGAACCCCGCAGGCCTCCAGACAGCTCCAACGTCTGCTAGTGCACTCCCACCCCTGCTGGGCAATTTACTTGCTTGCCCTGCAAGCCTACCTTCAGGCCTATCCCTCCTTTATGTTTCTGGGTTATAGCCTGCCATTCTGCTAATCCTGTAACCCAACTCATTGGTAATATTCAGTCAGCTAACGTTTAACTCCATTAGCTCTGCTCTGCTCAGCCCTGCCATTCATGGGCCTGCCCTCACTGTAACTATATATACATAACTTGTAGATAGGTTACACCCTAGTGATAAAATCGACTAGAGTTATCCCCCCTTTTTGTTCTCACTGCCAGTAAGTAAATTAGGGCATGGATGTGTAACTAGGCACAGTGCTCCTGGTCTGAGTTGCTGAGGCCAAAGCCCTCCACCATGGAGACATATCCTTCATCTCATATCTGGTCTCTAACAATTATGTACATTGTATATAAGGAGGGTCAGAGAAAACAAAGGGAGCTGAATTGGGACAAGGAGCCTGAGTGGAGACAAAGGGGTCTAAGAAAAGGAACAACATCAAGGGTCAAGGGTTTGACTCAATGGTGCATCTGAGAGGGGGTAAAGAGGGTGCAAGCCCAGCAAAGCAGGAGGAGAGGTGGGAGTAGGGTGTATGGCTCTAACTGGCTGAATGAAAAGAAGCAGTTGCCCAAATAGGAGTAAGGGAGAAAGGTGAGAGTGAATGGGACAATGCAGTAAACTGCAGGGTCTGTGGTGCATCTGTGAGGCCCAGGGGTAACAGAGGTTACAGAGGCAGAGTTGGAAGTCCAAAAGGATATTGGGAAAGGTGATTGAATGAAATGAGGTCACCTATGCAGTGGACTTAAGTGGAGGTGAGGTCAAAGTCTGAGGTCAGGGTATGGATACAGAACAGAAGGTAGTACCTTAGTGGAGAAGTGGGGTGGGAGTTGGGAGATAGAAGGTGATGTCAGGCCAGAGGTAGAGTAGACTCTTGGAGGCTGGCCAGGGCATGGGTGAAGTGGGACTCTGGAGTTGTTGCAGGAGTCAGGTCAGATCAGGTATGTATGGATATGTGTCATGGGATGACTCCTGGGTCCCCATAACCCTCCCCTGGTCCACAGCCTCACATGTAACTAGCCCTGTCCAGGGCACAATCCTACTGTGGGTAAGGAGATGAGAAGGAAGCTAACTTCTCATCTTCCCACAGTGGCCACAATATCAGGAATACTTCTGGAGATATCTGGAAGTCACATGGGAACAGGGTGCAGGGACTGGAGCATGTGGCACCAGAAGCACATGCAGGAAGTGCAGGAGGTCTGGATGCAGGTCCAGGTCTGGGCTAAGTCAGGGTATGTGCCCTGACAATATGACACTATTCTTCTTCATGGAAAGTCATGCACATTCATGAACATTCATAAGAAGGCATGGGGGTGCATAATGTGTCCTGTCAATTTCCAACTTGAACTGGTTATATTTGGTCATGAAGGTTCATGGAAGTTCATGAAACTTCATGAAAACTTTCATGAGACTGCATGACTGTGTATGCTCCTGCATTGTTAGGGACTGATCCGGGGTCGGGCACCGAAGGTCGCCGATGTGGACCGCTAAGGGCCGTGATGGCCGCGATGCCTCAGACAAGGCCTGAGGGTAGGGCATTTGGCCTCAGCAACTCTAAAGGGAGTGCTGTGCCCCCTAGTTGTCTCTTGGCCCTCATTTCGAACTTACTGGGGCTGCTTTGTTGGGGTAAGGGCTTGGGGTCGTGGTCAAGTCGATATTAGAGCTGAGGTACTATAATTAGCATACAGGATATATATATATGAAGATAGAATGAATAGAAGCGGACCCGGGCCGAAGGCCAAAGGGTCCGGAAGCAAATAGGAACAAAGAGCGGGGTTGGCTGCACAGCGGCCGGCAATGACCGAGGGTCAAAACAAACAATAACAGATAAATAAACAAAGGGGTGTAGGGCCGCGATAGCGGCGATGGTATCATAGCGGAGTAGGCGATGTCACGGAGTCACGCTAGGTCGGTACCAGAGGCGGACTCGGGGCAGGGAGGTCGGTGTGGCTGTGGGGGAGTCGGCCAGGTGCAGGGGAGCCTAGGGGCAAGCGGGGAAGTGAGCAGGGGGTCCTCAGGGAGGATAGGGCTGAGGTCGGGGCTTGCGCTCACGCTTGCATAGCGGTAACGGGCTCGGGCGGCATCGGGACGGGCAGCTAACGGGCCGGAATGCACGGCCGTGACATGCATGAACCCTCATGAACCCTCATGAATTTCTGTGCAGCATCACGAAACTCCATGAATCATGATCCTTCATGACTTGGGATTACACTTTTTTGCAGTTACTGGGTTGTCTGGATCACAGACGATGTGATAGAACACCTCAGAAGATGGGGTCTGTGGTACTGGGATGGTCTGAAGGACATTGGAATAGAAATACTGGATAATCTGGTGGAGAGACTTTGTGTAGATTATTGAGGTGGTCCCTTGAACAAGCTGGGGTGTGGAATGGTGGTCTTCGGCGGAGTAGGCAGTCCTCAGGTGCTTGATATCATGCTTCTTGAGTTTGACATGAAGATTGGCTGGAAGCTCATGTTCTGGTTCAAGTACAGGGGGGGCTTCTGTACAGTGAGGTCTGGGGAGATGGAAAGGGGCTCTTGCTGCAGTGTAGAGGGTGGCAGAGAGCAGGAGGTGGTTAAAATGGTCCTCATCCAGTGGCCACTGTTGTACCAGTCCAAGTGTGGTATGTGCCCTGAATGAAGGGGCAATTTGCCCACAATTGGAGGCGCCACCATAACTGATGTCCCTGAACCAGAGAACATTTCCAGGTGCAAATGGGTGACATTGTTCACCCTCAGAATGGTCTCTGTGTGGGTTTCTGTCACATCCATCCAGGACATCTGGGTGTAGGATGTTACAGTCACTGGGAGGGAAGCACACATGAGTGCATGCTCTGAGGAGCCTGTGGCAGGCCTGCTGTTGAGCATGTTGATGTGCCATAGGAGTGCTGCAGTGAGCTCCAGTGCATAAGGCTGCACCCTGGACTTGTGTCAGAGTCCACACGTCTATTCATGGTGTAAAGATATCCATGGGAAACTAGTCTATATCAAAGCTAGGGAGCTAGCCTAGCTGGCATAAGAGCCTTATATACATGAGCTCCACTAACTCACGAGAGCATGGCTACATTGGGAACACATGGTAACCGATAGAAATCAGATAGGAAGATAGATGATGTGGATGGAAGGGCGATAACAGGTAAGGGGTGATGTGATAGCGATAATAGCGCAATGAATAGTACCTGCATTCCAACTATGTAAATATCTCACACAATCTTGGCTAATGGTTATGTCATTGATATCACTTAGAGTAAAGGGGGCCAGATAGCCAGCCGTCCCCTGACAGGGTGGGATTCCACTGAGCTTCTATGAGCTGATGACATGGATGGGCAGTCAGGAGTTTGAACAACCTAGGTTGAATGGTTAACCACAGCACAGATATAATTTAACCTTTCTTGACTTACCACCACCATCCAGCAGGTACAAAGATGATGCATTCCTTGATAAACTCCCTGGTTATGCCCCTCTTCAATGCATTCCTTGCTTTCCCCAGTGGCACACAAATCTCCATTCTGGCTGTTCCCTCTGTGCACTCCTTGTTGGCTAAACTCCACACTTGATCCAGGTTATTGAATTCTTGCTGCAGTTTCTTTTGGTTCTTTTCCAGAAGGACATTTTTCTTGCTGATCTCCAGCATGGGATGGAATTTGTCTGCCCTTCTGGCAACTGCCTTCTCAGAAGCATACCACTGTGCATAAACAGGCAACTGTGCATGATGGGGTAATGCACAATGGCCACTAGCCAACAATAGGATGCCTGCTTGAACATCACAAAAATACCCTTCTTGTTCAGGTGTGGTCCAACCTCTTTCAACCTCTCCCTGATACCCATGGGCAAGGACCTGAAAGACATCATTATGCTTGGATGCATCCCAGTGGAGGACAAATTCCCTCCTGTGGATTTCCAGCCCCACATCCACCCATGTGCTTCTCTGCTCTACCAATAATTGATGGTTGAAGAGCCCAAGGATTTGTGTCCATGCTGTCTCTTCTTCAGGAGAATGGGCATCAGCATCCTTTCAGTACCTCTCAGTATCATTCGGCACCTTTCGGTGTTGTCCTATTGTCATTCAGACTTTGACTAAGTCCTTTCCATTCCCCTTTATAAATACCCGTAGATTAGAACCTGTAGTTCCTCAGTTCTAATCTCGACTAAAATGCTACCCAAAAGTCCCTCTGAGTGAATCCTGTTCCTGTTCTACAAGATACCTCAGACATAAGAAATACAAGGACTAACTGAGACGTAACAGAGGCACAGTGCTCCCTCCGAGTCGCTGAGGCCACGTCCTTCTTAGAGCCTCTTGTACCATCCAGCAGAACTGGGCTTCCTGGAGAAGCTTCGGTCCACTACCAGAGCTCTCAGATCCCCCTCTAGTTGAGCCCTGCCTGCATTCAGACTCATGCATTTACCCCTACGATCTGGGTTTTTGACACTTACCTGGTTTTTGTTTAACCAGGGGGTACCAAATATGGCATTGTATCTGTCAATGTTGATTACATCGAAGTAGTGTTTTTCTGTGTGGCCATTGATCTCAACGTCACATTCATTCCAAACAAGATCTGTGATCTTGTTCCTTTCATCCCATTTGGAGGATGACTGGGTTCTCCAATTGGAGGATTGGGATGTGGACTGCACAGACAAAGTCCAGCGATATTGCATCCATTTTGGCTCCACCGTCAAATAGCACATAGGCTTTTACGCCTGCTATTTTTATGTGAGCTGTCAGTGTTCTCTTTGTTGAGAGTGGTCTGTTTGCAGGGTATTTTCCTGTGTCGTTTGAGATGCAGAATTTCACATCAAACAAGGGGGTCTGGGTTTCAATGGGCTTTTGGTCCTTCTTCCCTTTTGTCAGAGACCAGACTTGAGACGAAGGAATGTCTCCGTAACGGAGGGCTTTGGCCTCAGCGACTTCTGCCAAGAGCGCTGTGCCTAGTGACACGTCCGTGCCCTAACTTACTGACTGGCACTTAGAACCTAGGTGTCATGACCGACAAATCCCGGGGCTCCGTCAGCGGCGAACCAATGCCGATAGGCGAATCCGCCGACCCGAAACCCATCCTAACCAGCCCCCAACCCCATGTCTGGCCCCCTGCCTTACTGCGTGAGACTTGGCCAAGAATCAGAACCTAGACCCTGCCGGTATTCCGACCTTACCTCCAGTTCCTGAGCCCTTGGCGCTCCCGGCATTCAGTCACGCCTGCCTTGTCTCCATCTGAACCACACTCATCGCTTCCCGCTATGTGGTCACAGCCATGCCCCGCTTCCGTCCACTCCGCACCCTCTGCCCACTCCGCACCCTCTGCCCATCTCTGCACCTTCTGGCCACTTCTGGTTGCCCTTGACACCTCTGGTCAGGTCAACACTCCCACTCCCCTCTGTACCTCTGTTGGCCTTCATGCTGTCCTTGTGTGACAGTGCTGGCAGATCAACTTCTGTTCGCGGACTTGTGTCGGCACCGCACCGACCCCGCTTATTTGCGGACTTGTATCGGCGCCGCGCGCTGACCTCCGCTTTTCCTCTGGCCATTTGTCACTTGGCAGCTTATCATTCATTCCTTGCCGAGTGCCATTTATTGTTTGCTTCCCTGCCAATATCGGCATTTGATCCCCTCTTTATTGGCACTAGGTTATTGATCTCATTCAGTTATTCATCAATAACCCTTGCCACTTATTGTTTAGTGATCTGTCCCTCCTTTCCAGTTCCCGGGCTCTTGTCCTTATTTAGTTTGACAATCCCCGCTTATCTCCGCGCCGGACCACGCTGGACTGACCGGCCTTTCTATATTCCCTCTTGCCTATTTATATACCTTGTAAATACTTTTGGGGACCTCAGTCTGAAATCAACTAGAGTACCCCCCCTGTCTGGTCTGAGTCCCTCCTTCTGCAAAGGGGGCTTCCCCCCTCTGAGTCTGTGCTCACGGAGTCCGTGCTCCTCCTATAGGTCCGCTCCACCCACAAGTCTTGTTTGAAGTCCGCTGTGAGTGTCAATCCGTAAATACGGGATCTCCCCCAAACGTCAAGCTCAGGGCACAGCGCTCCACCTGAGTCGCTGAGGCCGCGATCCCACTCTGCTAACCTTGAACAGCACTTCCGGACGCGCCGCATATTTCCGCCCACATATCCGCGCGCGCGCTCCAACAGACCTCTGCATCACCTCCGACCTCAACTCAGACAGAACCCAATCCGTCGTCTATCTGTCTTCTGACAGTTTGTCCGACTCTGACAGTATTCCGTCTCTGACAATATTCCAGACTCTGACAATACTTCCGACTCCGACAATAATCCCGCCTCTGACACTAGGGGGGGTAACTCTAGTTGATTTATCTGCTGGGGCGTAACCTATGTACAAGTGGTGTATATATATGGTTACAGCGGAGACGGTTCCGCAATTGGCGGAGCCGAACGGAGCGGAGCTAACGGGGTTAAGACATTAGCCGACTGAATATTACCGACGAGTCGGTTCGTGGGGTTAGCGGAAAGGCAGGCGTTAACCCAGAAACGGAAAGGAGGGATAGGCCCGAAGGTGGGCTCTGCAGGGCAGGCGAGTGTATTGCCCAGTGGAGGTGGGAGTGCGCTAGCAGACGTCGGAGCTGTCCGGAAGTCTTCGGGGCTCCGTACTTAGGGAGGCGTAGGTAATAAATTGAAATGAGGGGGTGGTGACCATCGAGGGGTACCGAGAGGTTTGCGGAATACGGGGGCTCCGAGGTTGGTGAGGGGGGAGCGGAGTTAGAACGGAGGGATCGGAGAGACCGGAAGTCAATGGCCGGGGATGGATATGACACCTTTCTCCTTGTTTTCCTTGGGTACTTTGGTGTATTTCCCCAAGGCCTCTTTTCTTGGTGCTTCCACCAAGGCTTCAGCGGCTTTCTCATCTGCTGTGTTTTCTAACTGGCACGCCACAGCCAGTTTGATTTTGTAATTTATGTCATCATGGTTGATGACTGACATTGGGCCCATCCTTATGGTCTCAATGTTCACTTCCTCACCCTCTGAATCAGGTGAGTATTGAAGTCCCTTGTATGGGTCCTCTACTTTGAAGCTTGATGCTCCGGAGTCACCAGAGTTGTTCTCTGGTTTTATGTCTGATGAGTCTTCCAACTCTTCTTCTGATGCATTCACAATTTCCATGGCAGCTATGCACCTTGGCCTTTCATCACTCATTGCATGATGTTTAGGGCAATCTTTTGTTTGCCCTATTTTGCCGCATTTGCCGCAAATTGGGACTGACTTTTGGTCAGTTTTCCTCAAATTTTTCGAGGATATATCCCCTTTCCATCTGGGTTTGGGCTCTTCAGCCTTCTTTCCATCTGGGAGGGTTCTACCACAGCTTGTGGTTGTGTCAGGGAACACCTGCCCCACCCAGCCCCACCCGGCTCCACCCAGTTCCACTCCACCCGCTACCCCCTTCTCCCCCTTCCTATTTCCTCCTCCTTCTACTTCCCCCCTCTTTCCATCCTTCCTCTGTATCATTCTTTATTCTTTCTATTTCTATTAACACAGACGACTTTCCTTGATCAATGTACCATTGACCCGCCCACAGTCCATGCATGACACACCCAGCCCCAGATACTCCAGATGACCCCCAGGTGTACCCAGCATGTGCGCCTGCAGCGGATTTCTTCAGGATCCCCCACGGGGATACCTGGATGGCTGGGGCTGTGCGTGAGGACAACATGGCAATCCTCATGTGACCCAAGTGCCATGTATATAAACATACCTGGGGTGGGAACCAGGGAAGCAGTCTTCTTCTCACTATTCCCACTTCAGGGACATCTGCCTGCACCGGACCTGCTGCCATACGTGCTCACTTCATACCTACTGGGCCCTCAGTGCCGGGTGATATACCTGGACGCTCCTGACCCCAGACTGGTCCCTGACATTTAGAAACCTGGCATTGAAGGATGCCTGGTCTGGCAGCATCACCATCTGGGACACTGCTTTAGACAGTTCTAAGTAGAACTGTTTTAGGCCTTTTTCTGCTTTGTATTTAATGTTGTGGTATTTCTTTGTCACGTTCAGAGTGGCAGAGGCTTTGATGAAAGTTCTCATCAGTATGTTGAGAACTTTGAGGAACATGCCCTCACCTCCTCTGAGGAGAGTTTCATCTTGGAGTCTTATTCCGAGGTTGAACATGGGTCCCCCTAATCTGCAAATCAAGCAGTCCAGATGGACTTCATCGAATTGGGGACCTTTGCATCCTCATGAGGTGAGTCCCAGTAGTTCTGTGTCAGGGACAGCTCTGAAAGTGGCAAGGTCCCAGCATGCGGGACTCGGTGGGACGAGTAGCGGCTGTGCGTAGCGGCGATCCCATCGCAGGGTGAGTGTCCCTGACCACTTAGTCTGAAGTGGGAATGTGAGAAGAAGGCTACTTCTTCAGTTCCCACTCCAGCTGTTATTATATACATGCAGTATCGATCACATGGGGTGCGCCACATCACCCTCACACACAGCCACGGCTCTCTGGGTGCCTCCACAGGAGATCCCAAGAGGGCCCGCTGTGGGTGCAGGGCGAGTGTGGCAGCGGTGGCGGCGATATAGGGATGGTAAGATACAGGAGGGGAAATGGGCATGCATGCCGGTGATACATTGAGCAGTGGGAAAGGTGGTCCATGTAAGAGAGAGAGAGAAAGAGAGAAAGAAAGAAAGGAGAACAGGAGAAAGGAAGAGGGAGAGGAGGGAGGAGCAGTGCGGAGCGGGGAAGCGGAGCGGGGGTTGGGCAGGGCATGTTGGGGCATGCCCTGACATTCTGTGAACCACTGCCAGAACGACTCCATGTTGTTCTCCCTTGACCATTTCTTGTCAGGGAAAGCCAGCCCATTCTTTAGGGCTTCTGGCTTCACTCCCTCTGGGTAGGGAGTGAATATTCTGGTTATGGAAATGGGAATTTCCCATTTTAGACTCTTATGGGGTCTGTATCACATGATTTGTATAGTAATTGAGTTTAACCAATCAATAATCAATGAAAACCCGCTGCCACACTACCTGTTCAACAACATGTTAAACCATCTGTGAAACCACCTGTAAACCCTTAGGCTTCGTTCGGTATGGAGAAACAGGTTTCTTTGGTCTGTTTCTTCCTGTTTCTTAATACAAAAATTGCGTGTTTCTTTAGGTAGAAGAAATGAGAAAGAATATTGAATTGAAAAACTGGAAGAAACAGGCCTGTTTCTTCATACCGAACGAAGCCTTATGTCCAACCCCCTTCCCTATTCCTGTGCCAGAATGGATGAAAATGGGCACTTCCAGCCCCATGTTTGTAACAATTCTCACTTTGGCCATGATTATGGCCTTTTCATACCATTTTTCCAGGTACTCTTCTTGCTCCCCTGCCTTTGTGGGGTTGCTATCCAATGGGGATTTCTCCTTTGGAGGGGTTTTCGCTGGAGGGAGTCTTTCTCACAGCGTTTCTTTTGTTTCAGGCGATCCTGCCTGAAGTTGTATCGGAATTCTCTCATTGTTTTGAGAGTGTGTGATTGTGTTACCTCTCTGTTCGAGAAGCTCATCAAAGGTGGAGATTTGGCTGAACCTTTGGTACATGCTGATTCTCCTCCTGATTTCTGAATGTGTCAGGGTCCGGCCCTCATTCTGTGACAGGGCCAGGGAGATCCTCCTAGTTGCTGGGGTGTCTAGTCCCAGTCTGAGATCCTCAAACTCACTGAGGGGGCTAGCCCCAGCCTTCACAGGAAATGG